AGAAACACAGTTAATTAATCTAATTTATTATAGAAACAAAAATTTATACACGCATAAAATATTAATTGATTATAGAAACACAATTTATAGAAACACAATTAATTAATTATAGAAACAATTTATAGAAAAGAATCTCCCAAATGTATTATTATATTATTTAATTAGTTGATTAATTGATTAAGTTTAATATTTTTTTAAGTGCATAAAAGAAAAAAAGAATTCGATATTTTATTTTAAACAACAATTGGAACTCAATAATTCAAGCGTGTAAATATTACTTAATCCAAACGAATGAGAGATGTAATATCACGATAACAAATATAATAACACTAAAATTCATAATTCAACGACATGGAATGACAATAAAACATAATAAAATTAATAAAACAATAAATATATTAGAAATAATAACCTTCAAGGATATGGAAGAACAATGAAATTCATAATATAAATATATTAGAAATAATATTGATATTACTAATGAAAATATTTACCTGTTCATCACGAAACAGTATATGGAATGCGTTCCAGCTCTCCCGTTCGTGATGCATTTCATTTATTCGGACTGCTTTCAATCGCAAATAAGGTTTGTTTGTCCTACTCACGGAATCGAGTGTATCCCATACCAGCGGCATAATATTATCGATGTATTCTAAAATTTATCTATATAATTTTTTTTTTCTCTGAACGCTATGAATGAAGTGAAGAAATAATCATGGTAGTGAATATCCTTTTATACAAATTGATGTTCAGCACGTTGGTACCGAAAAGAGTGATTGATGAAAATTATTTAGATGGAAAGATATTGTTAAGATTTTATCATATAAATGATTTATATGGAGCCTTGAAAGAGGAGATTTATATGAAGAATTAAAAAGAGGAGATTTATTCCATAGTATCTGTAATTAATACTTGTTGTTTTGTTAATAGAGCCACAAAAAATCAGAAATCTTGGCGTAAAAAAATGATTTATTCCATAAACAATTAATGTTAATCCGAAATAAATAAGAGAAATTTTAGGAAATTATGTGCAATTAATGCTCGTTGTTTTGTTAATGGAGCCACAAAATGATTTGTTCCATAAATAAAAATCGGAAATAATAGCGTAAATGATTTATTCCATAAAAAAATTAATGTTAATCAGAAATAATTAAGAGCAATTTTAGGAAATTATGTTAATTTACTATTTTAGGCTATAATTAATGAATTTGGCGGGAAATAGTTTCTAAAATTGAATTTAGTTAATCCTTATTATATATTAATAGATTACTGCTTTTTTGGGAAAGATTATCTTTTCCTTTTATTTTGTGATTTCCATCTCACATAAAATTTATCTAGTCTATCTAATTGGATGGGAGAAAAGTAATATGAAAAAAGAATTGACTCAATGTTTTTTTGGAATGATTTTTTTTTCCTTTTATGCCGTGATCTCCATCTCACATAGAATTTATTAAGGTCTGAAAATTGGATGGATCATCGAATCGAATCGGTCAAGTTACTGGTTTAATGGTTCAATGGTCCGACCTATGCTCGAACCAATGTTTTATTTATTTACATTTTTAAATTATATATAATAATAAATTACATATAAAATTTTGTTAATTTAATATTAAGACAATTTATAACATCCAAATACATAACTAACTAAGTTTATGAAGTTTTGGTTTTGCTATGAAGCCGACAGTTGGCTTCATAGTGGAGCCAATCTTTTATGTACAACAAATAAACCTACTGTATTAATAAAATTAATTTTCTTATCATATAAGAAAAATTATATACGCTCCATATAAGTCTGATTGTGGCCAAATTGATTTACTATTCATTTTCTTATATTTTATTTTTTTACACAAAGTGTTAGTAATAGATGGTAGTAAAAAAAGGTGGTGTTTAGTACCACCAATTTTTCTTTTTTTCTTTTTTTTTTATCGTTGAATGTAAATATATATAGATCAAAACTGAGTTCAAGACCGGTCTACGGCGTACAAAAGCGTAATGGGCAACCACAAGCCGGTTCCTCATTCGCGAGAAAAGATGTATCAGTTGCTCACTCAAAAGACATTAGAAAAGGGGTCTAAAGGGACCTCGATCCATGTCGGGGGTTGGCGGAACAAGGCGCGGGTCAAAACCAAGTTGTCCGCTAGTTGCAGGCTGTTTTCATGTGTTAGCGGCGCTATGGTGCTGGTTAGCGCCGCTGTGGCTGACGTGGGCGCGACCGTGGCATGTTGGCGTGGCGCGAATCTGGCAGGGGGAGATAGCGGCACTATGGTACGTAGCGGCGCTATGGTGACGCGTCATTAGCGGCGCTGATGCATAGCTGCAGTGCAATTTCATGCGCTGGTTGTCTGCCCGTCGTTAGTCCCTCGCTAATGGCAAAGCGGCGCTATGTCTGGATGGATATCGGCGCTAGTACCTGGGCGCAAAATTTCTGTTTCTCGCTATAGTGTGGTAACGGCGCTAGCAATTGTATCTTAGTGGCGCTATGCACGTAACGGCGCTAGTGCCTGGGACGCCCAAGAAATTTTCCAATTTTCTCCAATTCCTCATTTCTTCCCGGATGCTCGGCAACCCTTCGACTTCAACTCCCAATTTCCAAACATCAAAGACCAAGGTTTCGTCTCTCAAGTTCAGCAAGCACATTAGGGTAGAGAGCAAATATAGTGCGATAAACATGGGTTTTTACCTTCCGGATCACAAGGCACGGGGGTTGGTATTCATTTTCAAAGACCAACCTATTCCTTGCGTTCCAAATGAAGTAGACGCTGGCCGCTAGCGCCGCTTTCTTCATTTTGGATCTCCAACTAGCCCCTCTCGCTTCTTTTTTGGTCCATTTGAGGGCACTTTTAAGGGTCAATGGTCTATGTCGGAGCCAAATCCAAGCACGTATCTTACCCCAAATCTCTGAGCTAAAGGAGCACTCAAAGAAGAGGTGGCTTGAAGATTCCATCTCACATCATGTTTACTTTAACACATCCCATCTAGTAGATGGCCATTGCTAACATGGGCTGATGGGCCTGAAGTTGGTTCTGAGGCCATTTATTACAAACTCGAAACTCCTCAAACCCATCATCCATAACTGGGCTTTATCTCATTCCACATTGTAGTCTAAACCACGTTGCATGTTTTCTAGAATTAGGAGGGAATAGGTATTTGCTCTCATGAATAATCTTCATTTCTAGGTTAATGTTAAGGTTATGCTTGGTAGACAAATAATCTAGCTTATAGCTAGTTTACAATCCTCTATATTCAAATAAGCCTCGTTTGGTAGGATGAACTTTTTTTAAAAGCTCGTGCTCATTTGATAAACTTCCTTAGGTAACTTTTCAAATAAACTAGTTGAATTTTTTTTATTCCTTAGGTACCTATTTTATCAATCATTTAATAATTTAGATTATTGTACTTTTATCGACTGATTTTTTAATCAATTTGTTTTCTACA